CATTTAAACCAGCTATTGTTTCCAGACTTATTACGGAATATCGTTGTTAATGTCCAAGTCCATCTGTGTATACCTTCAGACAGCCTCCAAGTGAAGCACACGATGTTTACTCACAGTTTGAAAGCAGCGTGGAGAAGTCTTCATCTGTGTTAAACTGTGATCCTCCCACGGAACTGGGACCCGCCCAGATTAAATTGTGTTACGATTTCTGTGGCTATCTACCAGCGATCATGTTTAATATGAAAGACTACCCACACATGTATCCCTTATAAAAACGGTATTGTGCAGCACTCATCCAGATAAGATGTGACTGTTACCTCGTTTTGCAAAGATAGCAGCATAAATGTCATTGGGGATATTTAGACTTTATTACATTACATTGCATTTAGCTGACGCTTTTATCCAAAGCGACTTATAATAAGTACATTCGACCAGGAAGACACAACCTTGAAGAAAACAGAATCATATAAGTACATCAGGTTTCATAGAGCCAAACATTTCAAGTGCTACTCAACTGGCTTTAGATAAGCCAGTCCTTTATTAGTATTAAAGTGCTTCGTTAATAGTTCTATCGCTCGAAGTGGAGTCGAAAGAGATGAGTTTTCAGTCCGCGCCGGAAGATGTGCAAGCTATCTGCCGTCCTGATGTCAATGGGGAGCTCATTCCACCATCTTGGAGCCAGGATAGCAAACCCACGTGTTTTTGCTGATGGGAACTTGGGTCCCCCTCGCAGCGAGGGCTCAGCGAGTCGTTTGGCTGATGCAGAGCGTAGTGCACGCGCTGGGGTGTACGGTTTAACCATGTCCTGGATGTAGGAAGGGCCAGATCCATTCGCAGCATGGTACGCAAGTACCAGTGTCTTGAAGTGGATTCTAGCAGTTACTTTAAAATGCTGCTTGGTCGTGAATGTTGGTGTCGGCAAACAATATTACGAATCCTCTATTCAAACAACATATTCAATGTGCATCGACATGAAAATAACAAAAAAGTTCATGCTGGACTCAAACCCGAGTCCCAACAGTAAAAATCAATCATGCCCTGCGCGTTATGAGTGCGCCACAAATCTTCACATCCTAACAGACCACCACAGCTCATTTTGTGCCATTAATATTGTCAACAAGTTCTAGAAAAATGCAACCCGACATCATATTGATAATAATATATGACACAAATTTAAGACTGACAACAATAATAGTTTGTAAAGGATTTATTGACGTGAATGTTTTGAACAGTGAACACAGAAATCGTAACAGTTTAACCTGGGCGGGTCACAGTTTAATCTAGGCGGGTCACATTTGAACCTGGGCGGGTCCCAGTTCCCTGGGAGGATCGGTTTAACACAGATGAAGACTTCTCCATTCAACACGTCCTAACAGATCACCAGAGAACAATAAATCAAGTCGCTGTGTTGATGCCTTTTACATCACATGACATTTAGCTGACGCTTTTATCCAAAGCGATTTACAATAAGTATTCACTGTTCAAAACATTCACATCAATAAATCCTTTACTAACTATTATTGTTGTCAATATGATGTCGGATTGCATTGTTCTAGAACTTGTTGGCAATATTATTGTAATAAAATGAGCTGTGGTGGTCTGTTAGGGCATGATTGATTTGTACTGTTGGGACTCGGGTTTGAGTCCAGCATGAACTTTTTTGTTATTTTCATGTCGATATACATTGAATATGTTGTTTGAATAGAGGATTCGTAATATTGTTTGCCGACTCCAACATTCATGACCAAGCAGCATTTTAAAGTCTAAATATCCCCAATGACATTTATGCTGCTATCTTTGCAAAACGAGGTAACAGTCACATCTTATCTGGATGAGTGCTGCACAATACCGTTTTTATAAGGGATACATGTGTGGGTAGTCTTTCATATTAAACATGATCGCTGGTAGATAGCCACAGAAATCGTAACACAATTTAATCTGGGCGGGTCACATTTTAACGTGGGAGGATCACAGTTTAACACAGATGAAGACTTCTCCACGCTGCTTTCAAACTGTGAGTAAACATCGTGTGCTTCACTTGGAGGCTGTCTGAAGGTATACTATACACAGATGGACTTGGACATTAACAACGATATTCCGTAATAAGTCTGGAAACAATAGCTGGTTTAAATGATTTATTCGAGCAACTCGTTTGTCTTGTTGTAGTCCTCGCTGTTCGCGTCCGGATATCGCCATCGTAATCACAACCTCACACACTGGTACTGGATGTGCATCAACGTGTTCCTAAGAAGCCAAATATACCAAAAGATGTATGTAAACGACAGAAGAAAGCGATCGAAATGTGTATTTCAGTCGAAAGCCACGCACCCCCATGGAAACGAGTTGATTGGGAAATAAATTGATCGGGAAACAAGTTAATCCGGTACACCGGGCACGGCACGCTTAAAGCGAGCGATCGACCGGTCGATCGCAAAAGTAGCGTGGGTAGATCCAGGGCCAGCCCTTGGCACTGGCGACTAGGCGGTCACCTAGGGCGCCAGATCTGGAGAGGCGCTGCGCTGGTAGAAAAAAAAAATATATTAAAAAGATAATTTAAATTTCTAAAAAAATAATTTGTATTCTGCCTAATTTACTGCCCTTGATGTATACATTTACATTCTTAATTGAATAAAGTAAACACCCTTTGCACCCCGGGCCGGCAACATTTTGCATTTGCCCTGTACGATGGGCGCTGTAAGTGATGAAAGTGGGGGATGTTGACCTATCAGGCGCCCGCAGCTCACAGCCAAAGTGCGAGCGAGCCTCCGAGCGAGCAAGAGAGAGAGAGAGAGGGGGCATGCATCGGTACCGCGGATTGTTGTTGGATTGAGGCTGATAACTACAGCTCAGTGAGGTAAAGGACTCTGAGTGTTTAGATAGTTCACTTTAGTCTAAGTTATCTCAGTGGGTCTCAAACGGTTTGGTCCCAATTTATGTAAACACATATTTCCAAGGCACTCCTTTATAATTATTAGGATAAATAACAACAGGTTTGAAATCATTCCAATGTATACTATAGGACAGTAAACCAAAAATATTGTTTAAAACTGGAGATATTAAAAAATGCATGAATAAATAAATGTTAACTAGGTAAAATAAGATATGAATAAACAACAAAAATAAAATACGTTACATGTATTTGTTATTGGCTATGGTAGGTTATTGGTTATGTTCACATACTTATTTGATTATTAAAATGTAAACCGATCTTTTTCATATGGGTGTTTAGAGTTGTACCCCCTAGATCTAGTCTCTAGTAATTCTGCTCAAAGTGCACCAGATTGAAGCATTTTACTTTAAAATGTTCAAACAAATCATTCCAGGGGGGCATAACCCCAGACCCCCCTAGAGGATGTGACGTCCACCCCCCAATTAAAACATGTTCATACAATAATGAATACATTTGAATCCTTCTTTATGTATATAACCAACATGTCAATACGTTTCAGTTTTTGTAGTGTATTGGTCTTTTGTAGAGATTTTTCATTTATTCTTTATATATTCTATTGTGTATTGCTTGGAGGGGGGGGGGGCACCAAACCATAATCTTGCCTAGGGCACCAAAATGTCTAGGGCCGGCCCTGGGTAGATCGCATGGACTGAAAAATAAAAAAGGGGGAAAAAAGAGTTAGCCTATCATCCATCCTTACTATGGCATTTGCCACTTGATTGACGTACATCTTTTCCAGCACGCAGTTCACCACGCAGCTGCAAATCACCGGTGAGCTGATTACCTAGTTAGCCTTCCAATTTATACAATTCTACTAAAGAAAGGTGTTAGGAAAATATCACTTGACACCGGGTTGAGAATCAATAGTCAGGTACTCATTTATTCTTGCAAGAAGGAGCGGAGTTAAGTCACATAAAGATATGGTTGAATTCACACACATGAGGTATGCTGCTCAAAGGAGCAGGAAATAACATCAAGCTTATATAGTCTAAAGTCAGGAGGTACCAAACAGGGTCGTAAATTGGTTTGGCAGCATCAGGTGTCGGGAAGGCGTCGGGACATCTCTGGAAAGGCAGGGTTGCTCTTTGCCCCTCAAAGAGGAGAGGAGACAACGTGTGTGTGCTCTCGTTGGTATCAACAACATGAATGATGTCCTGCCTTCTCCTATCTACGAGGAGGCAGCTGCAAGGTCACACAGTGCAAAGTCACACACAGTATCATGCCCATCAGAAAACCCATATTAAGAAGACACCTTGTATTTTCTCCAACAAAAGGGTGTAACATTTACGTAATGACCAAAAATGTACTGAGTTATATTGTGCCATAGGAAGAGGGATGGTTTTTCAAAAATAAAAGCCCTAGAATCTCACTGTATCCAAACAAGACGCACAGGATAAGGATTTGTTTCTATATAAAAGCCCCCCCCCCCCACAGACACTACTACAACTACTACTACTACTACCACTACTACTACTACCACTACTACTACTACTACTACTACTACGACTAGTCTACTACTACAACAACTACTACTACTACTACTACGACTACTACTACTACTACTACTACTACTACGACTACTTCAACAACTACTACTACTACTACTAGTACTTACAGTAAAAAACGACTTACTGTACATTCAACTATTAACTCAATCAGCTATCTCAGGACATTGAGGCTATACATTTACAGTGGAGGAAACAAGTATTTAACCCCCTTCAGATTTAGTAAGTTTACCCACTTATTTTACAACTAAAAGCTCTTTTCAAAGGAAGAGCAGGTTGTAACCGAGGCTCTGTGGAGGTCAGAGTCTGAGCGCTGCTCCTCCTCCTGGAATGAGTCAGCGTTTGATGAGCCCTCCCTCTTCTTCCTGCTCTCAGACACAGCCAGCTCCACTCTGTGTTTCCTGGTTCCTCCCCTTCAGACCCACACTGAGGAGAAGGGGTGAAACCAACATGTGGGTAAAGCACAAGAGCTGATAGGCCACATTCACTGCTCACACACACACATGCTGTTCAGATCAGCTGACTCACTAGTTTCAGCTCTCAGGAAGTGAAACTCACACTCGCTGCTACTGAGAGGAGAAATGGCGCAGAAAGGAGTTCAGCTGGAGCGGGAAATGTTATCTTGTCCCATCTGTCTGGATCTACTGAAGGATCCGGTGAGCACTTCCTGTGGACACAGCTACTGCATGAAGTGTATTAAAGGCTTCTGGGACGGAGAGGATGAGAAGAAGATCCACAGCTGCCCTCAGTGCAGGCAGAGCTTCACACCGAGGCCTGTCCTGCTGAAGAACACCATGTTAGCAGCTTTAGTGGAGGAGCTGAAGAAGACTGGACCCCCAGCTGCTCCTGCTGATCTCTGCTATGCTGGAGCTGGAGATGTGGCCTGTGATGTCTGCACTGGGAGGAAGCTGAGAGCCTGTAAGTCCTGCCTCGTGTGTCTGGCCTCTTACTGTGACAAACACCTCCAGCCTCATTATGACGCAGCTCCATTACAGAAACACAAGCTGGTGGAGCCCTCCAAGAAGCTCCAGGAGAACATCTGCTCTCGTCACGACGAGGTGAAGAAGCTGTTCTGCCGCACTGATCAGCAGAGTATCTGTTATATCTGCTCTGTGGACGAACACAAAGGCCACGACACGGTGTCAGCTGCAGCAGAGAGGACTGAGAGGCAGAGAGAGCTGGAGGGGAGTCGACTCAACATCCAGCAGAGGATCCAGGACGGAGAGAAGGAGGTGAAGCTGCTTCAGCAGGAGGTGGAGGCCGTCAATGGCTCTGCTGATAAAGCAGTGGAGGACAGTGAGAAGACGTTCACTGAGCTGATCCGTCTCATGGAGAAGAGAAGCTCTGATGTGAAGCAGCAGCTCAGATCCCAGCAGGAGAGAGAAGTGAGTCGAGTCAGAGAGCTCCAGGAGAAGCTGGAGCAGGAGATCTCTGAGCTGAAGAGGAGAGACGCTGAGCTGAAGCTGCTGTCTCACACAGAGGATCACAACCAGTTTCTGCTCAGCTACCCCTCACTGCCAGCCCTCAGTGAAGCTACACACTCCTCCAGCATCAACATCCGTCCTCTGAGCTACTTTGAGGACGTGACGGCGGCCCTGTCAGCAGTCAGAGACAAACTACAGGACGTCCTGAGAGAGGGATGGACAAACGTCTCACCCACTGAGGTGGAGGTTTTACTGTCAGCAGCAGAGCCCACCACCAGAGCTGGGTTCTTCACATATTCACAGGAGATCACTCTGGATCCAAACACAGCACACACACAGCTGGTATTATCTGAGGGGAGCAGAAAAGCAACATACATGGAACAAGATCAGTCTTATTCCAGTCACCCAGACAGATTCACTGGATGGTATCCTCAGGTCCTGAGTCGAGAGAGTCTGACTGGACGTTGTTACTGGGAGGTGGAGCTGAGAGGGGAAGGAGTTCGTGTAGCTGTCGCATACAAGAATATCAGCAGAGCAGGGGGGGAAAGTGGATTCGGAAACAATGACAAATCTTGGTCCTTAGTTTGTGACCAAAACCGTTTTACATTTAGTCACAACAGTATCGACACTCCCGTCTCAGGTCCTCTGTCCTCCAGAGTAGGAGTGTACCTGGATCACAGAGCAGGTGTTCTGTCCTTCTACAGCGTCTCTGGAACCATGACTCTCCTCCACAGAGTGCAGACCACGTTCACTCAGCCGCTGCATGCTGGACTTTGGCTTTATCTTTATTATGGTTATTATGGAGCCACAGCTGAGTTTTGTAAACTCAAATAGCCTGAAGTCCTTGGAAGAACTCTTCTACTTCTTGAACTCACCGTGTGTCCATCAGAGCTGATTGTCCATGTCTTCACTGCAGAGATCAGCTGTCACTCAAACATGATGGGCGGGGCTTGAACGTCTTCTCATGAGTTGTTCTGTAGATGTTGGACTTTCTCCCGGCTCCTTCCTGTGTCTGTGTAGCATGGAGGCTGTCACTGCTCAGGAGGATCCTTGCTCACCTGGAAACTTTGCTCTAAAGATTTGCTGGAGTTTCTTTTGATTCATGTTGTTGTTTCTCTTGAAGTGCACGAGTCTTCAGAGACTTTTAGAATCACATGTATTACTTTGACAGATTCCATGTTATTGCTGCCCAAATGAACCAACACATTCAACCCAGATGGTTAGAACAATTATTTCATCATAACATGTTTATTCAAAATGATATTACTTCCTGTCTTGATCATAATCAATAAGTCCATCATGTGTTATTCTCCTGTCAATAGCTCAGAGTCTTTGCTTGGGAAATCAATGGTATAATATTAAAGGCTAATTGTTGTTGTTGTTGTCCAAATAGAAATGGGGTACTCTGTTTTATAGAACATACATTATCATGATCATAATCAATAAGTACATCATGTATCCTTCTGTTTGAAACAGCTGAGATGAAACACATGGAGTGGATGAAGGGAAAGTGATCATGAAGCCATTGATCAATAGTCATGGAACAGACTTTACTGACGGGATGTGGGATCAAATGAAATGTTTGGGTGATGAATAAAGTACAAACTGAAACAGGATGTTGTTCTTGTGTGATGTCCAAGGTGCCGATGGAGAACATGTGGAAGTGATCTGAGACTAGAACTGAGTTTCCTCCTGAAACAAAGCTCAGTGTTCATCCTCACTCAGTCTGACCCCTCCCTCACTCAAACGTCTCTGTGAGCATGTATATCACAGGAGGGTTGCTTTAAAACACATTCACTGGAGTTGTTTATACCTTTTTTAAACCTTTTCTTTTAAGTATTAAGCTTCTTCACTATTTGTCCTCCTCTTTCAGTTTCACTTTCCAGTTTCCACCAAAGTCACTGCATTTGAGCTGTGACTCCTTTCACTCTTAAGAATATGTTCTCGTTTCACCACAAAGTGTTCAGACAGTGCATTCTGGGGCTTTTTATCGTCTAATAAGTGTCAAGGGAATGTATTTTTAGTGCACGCATGTTTCTTATTTGGCCATGAAACATTAACTTTGATCCCAAATAGATCACTTATGAAAATATATAAAAGTGGAAACACATTGTTGGCTCCTCTGCAGCTTCGCTTTGGGTTCAGGCCTCATTTAAAGCGTGGCGCCTGGGCCGTGTTGCAGGAAACGTGGCGCTCTAACCCCGGAGGTCTCTTCTGGAGCGAGGCCGCTGCTAATGAGCCCGTCAGGACGAAAGGTGAGATCCAAACCTGTTCTGCTTTTCAGCCTCTGAAAGCGGGCAGCTCCTTTCAAAGGCAGCAGGACGTAAGTAATAAGCAAGTATGAGTAATTCTAACTGATTACACTCCTTTGTTTACTTCTGAAGACAGTGGAACACCCTGCTCTTAAATCAGACTTTAGTTCCACCTGGAGTAAATCCACCAGCTACCCTGCAGAATACAAAGTACTTCAAACTAGCTGCACCTTCACCAGCTTTGAGAACACTTTCATGATCAATCATTATAAAACATATCATATATATTATTCTGAAATGGACCAATCTGCACAACGACTACTTTTACTGTCTTTCACTATATTTTGATGAGAATACTTTTCTACTTTCACTTGAACATTTTGAATGCAGGACTTTTACTGTAACAGAGTATTCCTACACTCTGGTACTTCTACTTTTACTCAAGTACAAGATCTGAGTACTTCTACTTTTACTCAAGAACAAGATCTGAGTACTTCTACTTTCACTCAAGTACAAGATCTGAGTACTTCTACTTTTACTCAAGTACAAGATCTGAGTACTTCTACTTTCACTCAAGTACAAGATCTGAGTACTTCTACTTTTACTCAAGTACAAGATCTGAGTACTTTCTACTTTTACTCAGTACAAATCTGAGTACTTCTACTTTTACTCAAGTACAATATCTGAGTACTTCTACTTTTACTCAAGAACAAGATCTGAGTACTTCTACTTTACTCAAGTACAAGAATCTGAGTACTTCTACTTTTACTCAAGTACAAATATGAGTACTTCTACTTATTTACTCAAGTACAAGATCTGAGTACTTCTACTTTTACTAAAAGTACAAGATCCTGAGTACTTCTACTTTACTCAAGTACATATCTGAGTTCTTCTACTTTTACTCAAGTAGCAAGATCTGAGTACTTCTACTTTTACTCAAAGTACAAGATCTGAGTACTTCTACTTTTACTCAGTACAAACATCTGAGTACTTCTACTTGTACTCAAGTACAAGATCTTACTAGTACTCTACTTTTACTCAAGTACAATATCTGAGTACTTCTACTTTTACTCAAGTACAATATCTGAGTACTTCTACTTTTACTCAAGTACAAGCTCTGAGTACTTCTACTTTTACTCAAGTACAAGATCTGAGTACTTCTACTTTACTCAAGTACAAGATCTGAGTACTTCTACTCTTACTCAAGTACACGATCTGAGTACTTCTACTTTACTCAAGTACAAGATCTGAGTACTTCTACTTTACTCAAGTACAAGATCTTAGTACTTCTACTTTACTCAAGTAACAATATCTGAGTTACTTCTACTTTTACTAAAGTACAAGATCTGAGTACTTCTACTTTTACTCAAGTACAAGATCTGAGTACTTCTACTTTTACTCAAGTACAACATCTGAGTACTTCTACTTTTACTCAAGTACAAGATCTGAGTACTTCTACTTTTACTCAAGTACAACATCTTAGTACTTCTACTTTTACTCAAGTACAATATCTGAGTACTTCTACTTTTACTCAAGTACAAGATCTGAGTACTTCTACTTTTACTCAAGTACAAGCTCTGAGTACTTCTACTTTTACTCAAGTACAAGATCTGAGTACTTCTACTTTTACTCAATACAAGATCTGAGTTTCTACAGTACTTCTACTTTACTCAAGTACAAGATCTGAGTACTTCTACTTTACTCAAGTACAAGATCTGAGTACTTCTACTTTTACTCAAGTACAACATCTGAGTACTTCTACTTTTACTCAAGTACAAACTCTGAGTACTTCTACTTTTACTCAAGTACAAGATCTGACTTCTGCTTTTACTCAAGTACAAGATCTGAGTACTTCTACTTTTACTCAAGTACAAGATCTGAGTACTTCTACTTTTACTCAAGTACAAGCTCTGAGTACTTCTACTTTTACTCAAGTACAAGATCTGAGTACTTCTACTTTTACTCAAGTACAAGATCTGAGTACTTCTACTTTTACTCAAGTACAAGATCTGAGTACTTCTACTTTACTCAAGTACAACATCTCAGTACTTCTACTTTTACTCAAGTACAAGATCTGAGTACTTCTACTTTTACTCAAGTACAACATCTGAGTACTTCTACTTTTACTCAAGTACAGATCTGAGTACTTCTACTTTTACTCAAGTACAAGATCTGAGTACTTCTACTTTTACTAAGTACAAGATCTGAGTACTTCTACTTTTACTCAAGTACAAGATCTGAGTACTTCTACTTTTACTCAAGTACAACATCTGAGTACTTCTACTTTTACTAAGTACAAGATCTGAGTACTTCTACTTTTACTCAAGTACAATATCTGAGTACTTCTACTTTTACTCAATACAAGATCTGAGTACTTCTACTTTTACTCAAGTACAACATCTGAGTACTTCTACTTTTACTCAAGTACAAGATCTGAGTACTTCTACTTTTACTCAAGACAAGATTGAGTACTTCTACTTTTACTCAAGTACAAGATCTGAGTACTTCTACTTTTACTCAAGTACAAGATCTGAGTACTTCTACTTTTACTCAAGTACAAGCTCTGAGTACTTCTACTTTTACTCAAGTACAAGATCTGAGTACTTCTACTTTTACTCAAGTACAAGATCTGAGTACTTCTACTCTTACTCAAGTACAACATCTCAGTACTTCTACTTTTACTCAAGTACAAGATCTGAGTATACTTCTACTTTTACTCAAGTACAACATCTGAGTACTTCTACTTTTACTCAAGTACAAGATCTGAGTATACTTCTACTTTTACTCAAGTACAACATCTGAGTACTTCTACTTTTACTCAAGTACAAGATCTTAGTACTTCTACTTTTACTCAAGTACAAGATCTGAGTACTTCTACTTTTACTTAAGTACAAGATCTGAGTACTTCTACTTTTACTCAAGTACAAGATCTGAGTACTTCTACTCTTACTCAAGTACAACATCTCAGTACTTCTACTTTTACTCAAGTACAAGATCTGAGTACTTCTACTTTTACTCAAGTACAACATCTGAGTACTACTTCTACTTTTACTCAAGTACAAGATCTTAGTACTTCTACTTTTACTCAAGTACAAGATCTGAGTACTTCTACTTTTACTTAAGTACAAGATCTGAGTACTTCTACTTTTACTCAAGTACAAGATCTGAGTACTTCTACTTTTACTCAAGTACAAGATCTGAGTACTTCTACTTTTACTCAAGTACAAGATCAGAGTACTTCTACTTTTACTCAAGTACAAGATCTGAGTACTTCTACTTTTACTCAAGTACAAGATCTGAGTACTTCTACTTTTACTCAAGTACAACATCTGAGTACTTCTACTTTTACTCAAGTACAAGATCTGAGTACTTCCATAAGGCCACACTGAAGCAGCTTGCGGCTCTTCTGTCTGCGTTGGAGGTGGTTTTAACCGTCCAGATGTCTACATGCTAAATTAAGCTTAAAAACCTCTTAAGCCCCACGGACCCGCGGAAGGGGCCGAAAACCACAAAATCCGCAAGCAGTGTCTGAGGGCTTCGTAATGACAACACATAATCACACCTTGTGCCCTCTGGGGTCATTTTTGACCCCGTCTTGCTTGACTGTTATTTCAAGCATAAAGTATGAAATGTCAATCAATCTTGTGTTACCTTTAGTTTTGCTTCAGTCCAACCCAATACCACACATTTTCCCTTTGTTTTGGAATTTAGGGCCGATAGAACTTTTTTATATGAAATTTTACCGTTTTCTGAGTTAAAAAATAAATTAAACTATTTAATAATTTGAACATATTGTATTGTGACTATTTGTCTTATCACAGACTGGTATATGTCAAAGTTTAGTAAGGATTTTTTAATGACAACACATAATCACACCTTGTGCCCTCTGGGGTCATTTTTGACCCCGTCTTGCTCGACTGTTATTTCAAGAATTTAAAGTGGAAACCTCACGCATTTCTGTGTTACACATTTGATGTGCCCTCAGTTGCATGCAGGGCAGGTAACAATGGTGTGATCTTTGCAGATGTATGCATTGCATCTTTGGCAAATGTTCTTGGTTTTCACATCAATCTGGCGAGGGCAGAATTTGCACCTGCTCCTTTTGGCTGATGGGTCTGGAGGGGGAGCTTGGCGAGCGGGAGCTTGGCGAGCGGGAGCTTGGCGAGCGGGAGCTTGGCGAGCGGGAGCTTGGCGAGCGGGAGCTTGGCGAGCGGGAGCTTGGCGAGCGGGAGCTTGGCGAGCGGGAGCTTGGCGAGCGGGAGCTTGGCGAGCGTGAGCTGGGCGAGCGTGAGCTTGGCGAGCGGAAGCTGGGCGAGCGGGAGCTGGGCGAGCGGGAGCTGGGCGAGCGGGAGCTGGGCGAGC